AGGAACTGGGCAGATATGGCAGCTTCTCTCCTCCCTTTACCCAGAGGATTTCCTAGTACACCTTTTATCAACTGCAGACATATCATTCTTCTTAGTCACCTAAACTCAAATTGGCCTCTCCAAAGAAAACAATACCATGACCTTGGGTGTGTGAGGGGGCAGAGCACCAGTCTCCTGGGAAGTCTTCCAGGGAGTGGGGAGATGATGACTATAACCTGTCCTAGAGAACATCTGGAGAGTAGAACATGTGGTGGAGTCTCCCTGTCTAGGAATAGATTTTCTAGATTTCCAGATAAGGCAACAGAAGTCATTCCTTTGTGAACCTACTCCCTCATCTGCAGTCCTGAGATTGAGGCCCCATACACCAGTGAAGAGGAACAGGAGCGGTTGCTGGGCCTCTACCAGTACCTGCACAGTCGTGCCCACAATGCCTCCCGCCCACTCAAGACCATCTACTACACAGGCCCCAACGAGAACCTCCTAGCCTGGGTAAGGTGGCCCTCATTAGGCTGGGCTTCATGGAGGTCCTGGGTAGGGTTCATAAGGGCTATCCATCTTAGATGACCACCTTTTGCCCCCTTCTCCAGGTGACAGGCGCCTTTGAGCTCTACATGTGCTACAGCCCTCTGGGGACTAAGGCATCAGCTGTCAATGCCATCCATAAGTTGATGCGCTGGATCCGTAAAGAGGAAGACCGCCTCTTCATCCTCACACCCCTCACCTACTGATGGGAATGTGTGCAGACTCAGCCCTTCCAGTCCCACTGGGTGTGGAAAGCCATGGGAGCCTCCAGGTGGGGGTGGCTTTTGCCTAGCCAGCAGGCAGGGACTACGGGTTGGTGTGTGCATTAAAGTACTTTGGGGAAGACACTTGTTGCAGCCATGTCATTGTTCTTTTTTTTTTTTTTTTTTTTGCCCATCTACTATCATGGACAAACACTGGATTCTCCTCCCAAGTTCTGCACATATTTCTTCATATACAGGAGCACATGCATATTTAAGACACTCTCCTCCTGCCCTTGCACTAGCATCAGGCTACACACATTCAGAGTTGGACCCTTGGCTGCAGATGTTTTGGTTCACCTGAAGTCATCATATGTAAAGGCTCTCAGTCATCCTACTGTCCTACCCTTGCCCCTGCACCATCCCTCTGTACCCAGTCTGCCTCTGCACTTGTCTTCCCTCTCTAAGGTGGACCCTCCAGTTGCATGCCCTGAAGGACCACCCAACAAAGCTCTGGCTGTGACTGCTTAATAGACTGCTATAGATCAGCATGGGCTGAGCTGAGTAAAATAAAGATGGCCCAAGTGGGGTAGTCTGGGCTATGGTGTGGGTGAGAGCCCTTGGTGAGGCACAAATTTAGAGTTCAGTCTCCCTGTAGCCACTGGCCTCTTCCTATAGGCCTTTCCATGAAGGGCTATCTGCCTCAGTTCCCCTACTTCAACCAGCACATTCCTCAGAATGGCCTCCAAAATGAGCTAGAGGATTTGAGAGGAGGTCCACTTGGCCTCCAGGGCCTCTAGGAATGCATCTGCCTTAATAAGAGCTGATGTCACTAGGTGCACTGGTTCTTCCTCAGTTACCCTATTCCCTAGCCTGGCATGGCCAGAACTGCATGAAACTCCATGGACATCCCAGGAGGTTGGTAGTAAAGGCTCATTCACTCTGAGAATTTTGGGGGCAGAGCCTAGGACACTGTGCAAAAAGCCTTTATCTTTATTGTTGGGGCTCTCCCCATTCTGCTACAACTTCTCATTGGCCAGGGAAGCAAAAGGCCTAGGAATTGTTTCTGGGAGAAAATCATCCACTGAATGTGATCAAAAGCATCCTTTTGCAGCCCCTGAGAGTTTGGCCCAGATTTTACTATCTTTAAAACCAACCCATGTTGGAGAATTTGTCTTTGTAGGTAGCATCAGCCAAGGATACAGTGGGACAGTTGTATTCCTCTCCCAAGAAATGGCAACATATCTTCTGTCATTGGCTCCAGACTAGATCACTTTTTTTTTTTTTAAATTGATGATGGGTTCCCGAGAAAAAATAGTTCTGTTCTTTTTTTTTTTTTAAGAGAAGAGAGAGAGAGAGAGAGAGAATTTTTAT